AGGGTTCTTCTGTTTATCCCACACGGGGTTTTGTTCCTCTAGGAATTGCCAGCCATGATTTTAACCCTTTAAATGAAGAAAAAGCACTAAGGCACTAAAAATAGAGAAGGAAAAGCACTCAAGATAGAAGAGGCTGTAGAGATACAAAAATCCATCATCCACTTTTTCTTCATTTAACTGGCCAACAACGACAGTTTGTGTGTATGGATGAAGAATTAGGAGGGAGGATTGTTCTCCCTGTCTCCAGACTTTCCAGCTTCTCTGGGGCCCTTGCAACAACAATGAGTACAATGCGAATAAAGAGATGTTTGGTGTTTGATAAACTTAACATTTATCTTTTCTAATAGCTCCCAACAAGATAAAGCATTCAGGCAAGGGAAGTGATTTCTCTTTTTTCCCTTTCAGTATCTGAGACACTGTAGGATGATGAACAACAGCTGCTGAGCTGAGAAGTTCAGGCTCAAGCTGGTACCTCTGGAAGTGACACAGCTTGTATGAGCTGTTTGCAGCCTGATCCACTTTGTTCACGCCCATTCCTCGGAGGAGTAACTGCAGTCTGATGGGGACATTTTAGGACATGCTATGGCATCTTTACATTCGTTTTGGACACCCCTCGTGATGCAAGGATGCTCTGGGTACTGTGACATCACTGGTGGTGGACATTTCAGCAAGAAGCAACATGTGGTTTATATATGACCCTGCAATGCAGCACTGGAGCAAATGACTTTTATTGCAAACTACTCAGGAACTACAGGATTTCACACACGCTGACCTTTTGACTGACACACTGAATGCATTGATTAGAATGACTCCACTGAATACATCTCACAAAATCACTTAGCCATAAATCTGCAGAAAAGGTTTCAGAAGCAGAGCAGAGAATGAAGTTATCCAAGCAGTTTATCACAGAAATTTATCTCTGACTTATCAAAGCTTCCCCTATATCTGATGCCTGAGCCTGCCTATCTCATACCCCAGCAAGATCTCCTAGTCCAGACCCCTGCTCAAGCAGGGTGAGCTAGAGTAGGTTGTCCACAATCACGTCCAGTTGAGTCAGACCTCCTGCTGGACCAAGAGCCAGCTCATGGATGCATCTGGTCAAGTCAAAAGTCAGCTCATGCATCCTCTGCATTGACTCTTCCCCTTGGGATCCAACTTTTCCCTGCAACTATGTGATCCTCACAGTGCTTTTTTCCACAGCCGCCCCTGGGGTCAGGATTGCTTTACTCATGTCCTGTGTGATGACAGTCCATGGCATTATAACATCAAAGGTAATTGGGGTCATTTGGGATGTGTATTCAGTGTTGTTCTGCTGCCCTGGTC